CCTGCTGGGGCAGCCTGGCTCACCCAGTCCTGCTCGGTTTCCACTGCCTGAGCCCAGATCCCAGCCTCTGCCGGAGTGTCTGGGTCTCAGCTGCCCCTCCTGCCCCTCGCAGCCCTTCAGAGTTTGGACCTGGGTTTCTCTGCGCATAAAACGCCGCACTCTCCTCCTCCTGGTACGAGGGTGGCCCGGATGCACCCAGGACAAAGGACCCACCCAGTCAATCAGCTGGAGCACATGCCCAACTTCGCCCAGCTTGAGTGCGCCACGTCCACTGGAAAGCCGGCGGTGCTGACTCAGGACTGACCCGGCGAAAGCAGAATAGGGATGGCTTATTAACAGAGTATGAACAGATCCTTTCCAAGCAAGACCCTCCAGGCCAGCCCACCTCTCTCCTGGGGAGATGCATTTTGCACCACGCGCACCACAGGCAGCCTTACCTGAAGACAAGTGAAGCGCTCACTGCAGCTCAGCCGCAGGAATTTCTCCCCCAGACTGCCGCCAAAGCTGCTTGTCGTGGAACAAAAGAGCCCTAAAGGAAAGGAGGAGGACGCACGCGGGTCTCTCTGCTGTATTTCCAGCCAGCTACGAGAACGCCCGGCCAAGGAGTGACGGAGGGAAGGAAAGAGGGAGGGAGCACATATGCGTGCCTGTCTCTGTCACTCAACGCCTTTCAGCGGTGCAGCTGTGGACTGAAGCTCTCCCCTCCCCTGCTGGCATGCGCAAGGCTGCTGGTCCAAAGATCAATACCACTATGGCTTTGTCCAGAACTGCTGGACTGAGAGGGAAGGGGAGCTGGAATGGAACAGCCAAATGCTTGGGGCAAAGGGGGGGGCAGGAGGGAACAGCCAGAGATTGACCTCAATCCAACCATGTTTGCAGTGGCATTACTGGACCGTGAGCGTACCCTGTGAAGCCCGAGGGTCCTGCGTGCCCTGAGCTGGTTTGATGTATGACATTCTACGAGGCGGTTTCCTGCTTCCAAAGGAGCAGGTTGGCAGGACCCACGGAGACAAAATGTCACGCACAGCACACGGCATGCCCAGGCAGGCAGCATGCTTTGCACGCTGGAATCGCAATGTCCTGCGCCCGTTTTCCACAAGAGATCTGGCAGCCTGCAAACTCAGGGCTATTTAGCTCTCCGTTCGGTCTTAAAACCCACCAGGAAATCCTCTCCTGAGGCTGACCTGCCCTGGGAGCCTCCTTGGAAAAGGCTCCTTATGACCAGAGAGGACCATCCTCCTCCTCCAGCATCTGCAGAGGGAAGAGGGAGCTCCACCAGGGGTCAAAGCCAGCTTTTCAGCAAAAGCAGATCTGGGCCAGGCCGGGGACCCCAAGTGGGAAGGGAAAGTGGGGTCACCGACAGACCTGAGAGAAAAGCTCAGCTCTGTGTTGGCTCCAGCTTGGGGCCTCAGAGTGAAGAGCAGAGCCGAGACTCAAAAGTTGAAGTCGGAGCTGAGCGTTGGATCCTCTCTGCAATTAAGGCCAGGACTTTTCTCCCAGCTTGGGTTGAGCCCTCATCCCTTCTCTTATCCTCTCTCTCATCCCCTCCCTTCCCTTCCCCTCCCCTCTCCTGCTCCTCCATCTCTGCAGAGAGCCTGCGCTGCTCCAGCCCTCCCGGGGGCATCAGCATTCAGCCAGCATCCTCCATGGATCCACATCCCTTCCCCCAGACGGACGTGTCTGGAAGGCCCTGGCACTGGCAGCACCTTCCTGCCCTCAAGAGTCCCATTTCGGGATCAAAACGTCTCTGATCCGCTCAAAGGCACGGAGTGTCCCTGTGAGGATTCTTGCGTGCTCTTCTTCTTCATCAGCAGCGTCGCCCTGGCTTTGGGGAGGAATCAGCCGAGGATTAAAGGTTGCCTGCTTCCCAGTTTGCGGGGCATCTCTTTTTGGGCAGAAGTGGCCAGAAAAGCCGGCTCTGAGGCCTCTCTAACCCAGAGGCCACAAGCTGACCAATTGCGGTGATAGAGAGAAAACGGAAGGGGATCATCCAAGGAATTCTGCAAGGGGCGTAAGGGGCGAGATTCAAAACATGCTTGAAACTTGAGCAGCTGTGGGGACTACAGCCCGATTTCCTTCCTCTTCTTTTTAACCCTAACCCCAACCCCTGCAGATTTTCTTGGTCTTCAGCTTTGATCAACACCCTTGACTCTGCACACCTCCCGTTGTAACGCTAAGCAAATTATTTGAGCCCCACTGCTATTTCCAGCCTCCACAATGCCATTAATAATGTCTGTCAAACACTAACAATTAGAGAGAGAGAGAAACGCTAGAGGGGAACTGGAATAACTCATCAAATGCCATCCATTCACGGAGTAGTAAAATCTATGTCACGGAGAGGAAGTTGGACAATGGAGCCCCCATTTGGAGCACAGAAATGACAGGGTTGGGACCAACCCCTGGATTTTCAAGCCTTGCACAAGGATCGGTCCCTTTCCAGCTGTTTTGCCAGCAACTGATTGGAGCCCACCGCTTCTGAAATTGTGGGTTTTTCAGCTCTGGTCCTTCAGAACTACAGTGGTAGAATTGCCATTATAAACATCTCCAGCCTGTAGAATCAGTGACTTTCCCTTTACATCCTTAAGCCTAGGAAAAACATCCTTGCAGGAGTCTTCTTTTCCTCCCACTGAGCCTCTGGGGGAGAGCACCCTGCCCCCCCCCACAGCCCTGTCCTGTGAGGGAGTGACCCAGGAGGACCCTAGGAGAAGCAGCTCCCAAACCTGCCCGGTAGCATCTGCTGCTCAAGGCCAACGTCTTCCCTTCTCCTGGCGGAAGTGAGCAGCCTCTGCTCCAGAACACCCATGGGAATTGGTGTCACTACCACTTTGTGTCTTCCAGTGTCATATCTAGTTCTGGGCGATATTAAAATTCTAGCAAACCCATGCTAGTAGCTTCCCACGACATTTAATTCTCCACCATCGTTTGCTGAATGTCTGGCCCGATGGGAAACAGAGAAGCCGGGACCTTCCAGACAGTGTACAAAAGGCCCGATCCCACGTGTTGCTCAGAACGGGAAGGAAGCTTTTCTTTATTTAAAAAAAGGAAAAAAGTCTTGACATTTATTTAAACATAACCTGTAGCTCTCTAGTGGTGTAAACTTAAAGCGTGAGCCATTTCTGTTTAAATTAGACCACAAAAGGGGGGGGAGGAGGAGATCTTCGTTTTTGTAAATTATATTGAAAGAAGGACAAAGTCCCCCTCAACATTAACTGGAAAGACACACTCTTTAGGGCTTCACAAGATTTTGGGGCTTGCGAGCATCCTCTCTTCAAAATTTAATCTAAATATGTGTGCATACGTGAGGGCAACAGAGACCGAGAAGAGAATTACACTTAAACCTCACCCATCAATAACATATTCCCAGGGCAGCTTTTGAAATACAAAGCACAATAACTGTATCGATGCTCAAGCAGACTGTTCGATCCTGAGAGAAGAAGCAAAATTCTGTTAGATTCCTCCTCTAAAGCCAGCTATAAAGCAGCCAGAGGTATTCAGAAGGGCTTCTCCAGAGAGCTGGCAAAGTCAGGCTTATAGGAGGAAGACAATACAGCCAAAGGCAAACGCTGTAAGCCTCTTTCTGCTGACAAGGATGCAGTCATCACGGCCGTGTCATCCTCGCAAGCACAGCCAGCATTTGCCAGGTCTTCTCCGTGTGTTTAAGGGCGAGGGGCAGGGTTTTCCCCACCCCCTCTTCCTTTTGGGCATGCCTTTTGCAGAAACCCTCCTAGGGCAGGGGTAGGCAACCTCGGCTTTTTTATGACTCATGGACTTCAACTCCCAGAATTCCTGAGTCAGCTATGCTGGGAGTTGAAGTCCATGAGTCATAAAAGAGCCGAGGTTGCCTACCCTTGATCTAGGGTTTCCTACCTGAGCAGGGGGGGAGGGTTGGACTAGAAGACCTCCAAGGTCCCTTCTGTTATTCTGTTATTCTTTGCAGGCTTGTATCAATTCAAAACAAGCTGTTTGAAGCCCAGGGGCGACTTGCAGGAGCCGAGATCGCCCAGTCTCGTTTCAGCACCAAGGACAGCCGGTCCCACACTTGATCCCAATGTAACACGGGTAGTCCTCAACCTAAGGCCACAACTGAGCCCAAAACTTCTGTTGCTAAGTGAGACATTTGTTAAGTGAGTTTTGGGACTTTTCTTGCCAGAATTATTAAGCAAATCGCTGCAGTTGTTAAGCTAGTGACCCAGTTGTTAAGTGAATCTGGCTTCCCCAAAATTACAGCAAGTTCCAGTGCATTCAAAACATCCCTGACAAGGAAACAAAATCTATGGGAATTTCACACCTGCAGTCAACATATATTTCACCACAAGGTCTGCAAGGTGGGATGTGATGGATAATCATCCCCTCTTCCCCTCCGCAGGTCTGTTCAATCCAGAGTCCATGACGATAATAGATAATAGTTATCTGTCCAGGCTCCCTTCCAGGCAGAATTCCAAGACTGCAGGTTTCTAACAACTCCAGATGGGAAGAGGAGAGAGAGAGAGAGCCAGGGTGTGACCCTCTTCCTCTGCCCGCAACTTAGCTGCATCCAGCCCTCAGCAGGTACGCATGACTGCGAAACCAGAGTGTGGACTTCAGCCCTGTCCCCATTCTGCCTCCATGAACGCAAAGATCTGTTTAGCTTCCTGGGGGGGAGGAGGAGGAGGAGGAGGAGGAGGAGGAGGAGGAGGAGGAGGTCGATGGCTGGGAGGAAAACCTTCAGATAGAGACACCTGCAACATCCTGTCCTCTATTTTTAAAAGGGAGGAGACAAAGAGAGAGATTATTCAGAAGAATGTGTGCTTTAATTAACCAAAGGCTAATTAGCCCTGCAAGAAAAACACGGAGTGTCACTCTGTTGTGCCTACAGGAGGAAAGAGGCAGGGGGCTGGGCTCTGCCTGCAGGGGAATTAGGGCAGGGGGGGTTCATTTGTTCAGAAACAGAACCAATAGATGTGACGGAAGATAAAGTGCTACGACGCCCGAAGGTAAAAACATTGGTAACAAGTATATTTATAGCCTGTTAATAAATAAAGCCTGAGCCGTGCATTCTTATCAGGTGAGCGAGCAAAGGCTGGACTTGTAGAGATTATTCCTGTTGATTTTTGCATCCGTGAAATGCCTCGCTGGAGCATCTGTGAGCATCTGTTGCTAACGCTATTGAGTTAGCTTCCTGAATTAACCTCAGGAAGAAGGGAGAGAGGCTGCAGCTTCTTCCTCAGGCACATTCCTCCAAATACATTTTGGGGGCCGTTTTACCTTCTCCTCTAAAGAGAAAGACGGACTATGCCGCCTTTTCTTCCCCTTGGATCTCTCGGAAGCGGTGATGGCTTCGTTTCTTTCGACTGATACCGACGTGCAGCCTGGCAGTTCACCAAGACTGAAGATGACCCAGCAAAAATGAACACAAAGCTGCCCTCTCCAAAGGTCCCATCCGGCACCTGATGAACGGCTGGCTTCATTGGCAGGGGGGTTGAGAGCCTTTCCTGTGGACCACCGCCCCCTTTTTGCACGGGCCTTGCAAAACAAGTGCAGCTTCCTGCACAGAAGGGCTGCCATTAATTGGAAAGGGAGCCACTCTTCTAACGAGGGGCTGCTAACAACGGCCTTTGCTCCCTGACATGCAGAGGATCCATTTTGTGACTGAGGAGGCCAAAATGGACGTGACTGGAGACCAGAAAAAAAAGAAAACTTGGCTCCAGGCATTGAAGTGGGTAAGGTTCTGTGCCCTTTAAGGGCTCCCACGGCTGGGAGTTGCGATCCCTGGGCACGCCGGGAATGACTTCAAAAACCCCTGCCCCAATTCCAGAGACTCCCTGCTGCTCAGGCAGGCCAGTTCCAGGCTGGATGAACAGAGGGCCGGAAGCCAATGTTAGGCAGCTCTGTGGGCATGGAGAGATGGGCTGGGCCCAGGGCCCTGCAACTGAGGGGCAAAGAGATTTGGTCCATTTTCTAAGAACCTCTTCTCCCCCTGCATTTTAATAGCTTGCTCCAAAGGGGGGAGCAGGAAGCTTCAGATGGTGGAGAATTTGCACAAGGAAAATTTCTGGGGTGGTGGTGGTGGAATTAAGGGTCCTTCCTCTCTCTCCATCACCCCCTCTCTCTTTGGGTGAAACACAGACCCCTCTGATAACACCCAGGCTGTTTTGCTTATATGTTAATTCCCAGGCAGACGGGAAGAAGGCAATTAGGAAAGCCAATTAAACAGCTTTGTTGTTTACAACACTTGCAGTGCCAAAGCCCAAAGCCAGCTCTCTCTCTTGTCCTCCTTGAAAAGCAGCATCCTTGCAAGAGAAAGGGAAATGAGCAACGACAGATGGATTGCAGCACCCGAGAAACCCTGAACTCCGCTGGAATTTTAAGATTCTGCTACAGGGAAGCAAACTCGCTTAAGATCAGATTTCTGACAAGAATTTCCTCCCTCCCGAGGTCTTAGGATAACTCAAAGTAAGTGAGCAGGATGCCAGCCGAGGCTTCATTGCTCCAAGGAGATGCCACCCATTGTGAATGCATCTTGTGGGTATCCTGGCTGGTGGGGAGAATAACAAGCTCATTATTCTCTTAGGAAAAAAAGGAGGCAGCAAGTGTCACCCATCTGTTTGAAGCATCGTTTTCTATCAGGAGTCTTGAGTTCCAATGCCCTCTATGTCTGCAGGACTTCAGCACCCATCATCCTGGCCAGAGGGAGCAGTCTGGAGCTTTAGTGGGCATCTTTAACAAAAGCAAATCCAAAATGTCTCCTGTGGCTTTCTCCAGCGGGGGGGGGGGCTGAGATAATGCAAGGTGCAATTCATAAACCAGCTCCCCTAAGATAAGAACTTGAGATTGAAGCTTCGATGGTTTCCAGAATTGGGGGCCCAGCAACGAGAGCATCACGGCCCTTTCAAAATCGGGAGGGCCGAGTTGAAACTGTCCTGGATTCCCCCCAACCCCGGATGGGGGCTGCAAATTAAGGGAGCACCCCTTCCTCCTCCATCCAGGCCAGCAAAAGGAAGGGATTCAAAGCCTTTCAGGAGCTGAGGTTACCCTGCTGATACCCTGTTTGTAGGGCGCGGACCAGAAGGGGCGAAGCCAGGAAAGCCATTCCAGTGCAGGGGACAGGAGGACCAAGTGAGAGAGACAGAGTGAACAGCGGAAGGATGGCTAGCTAATTAAATGCAGTCTTTTTGGTAACTCCATTTCCCTCCTGCTTGAGTTGTGGGGGGGGGAAGGCTGATCTGCATTCCAGCAAATTTGCAATTTCTTGATAGCGGGAGCTGAGGGGGGGGGGCGGGAGCGAAGACGACTCCCTCGCTTGCTGGAAAGGCACATGCATTCACTGCTGCAAGACTGCAGCGGTGGAAGGCTGCCACGATGCAGACTTGCGGCCATCCACCCAGGGAGGCCTGGCATCGGGATTCTGCTCCGCTTCCCCTGCCCAGGTGGAGGGTGGGGAGACCCCAAGGGACAGGGGGGCTTGCGATGCCCTGTCTTCCAGACAAATGGGGGGCATCGATTCCAGGTTAAGCAGCCTAGATGAGAAATGGGGGTCAAGGTGGGGGAGAGAGGCAGAGCAGCGAGAAACAGGAGCATCGCCATGGTAACCGTGAGATGGCTGGGCTGCCGCTGGTCCTCGCTGATGCTTGTCAGGGTGAGGGGAAGAGGGAAACAGGGAAGGGCACAAACTCTGCCGAACTAGAGCAACTCTCAAAACACAAAGTAAAGCAGCTCAGGAACTTGAGTCCTAAAGACAGAGGGGAACAGAGGAAGTACACCAGGAGCCCAGGAGCCAGATCTGTGGGGGGGGGGGGCTCAGCCCGTTGGCTCAAATCCTGAGTTTGAGGGGCTCTGACAAGCCACCATTGCCTCCAAAACATCAGCTTGTTTGCATCTCTCTCTTTCTCTTTGAGAAATCAGATTGGCAATTCTTCTGGACATCAAGGTTTAATGCACTTTGAGAGCCTCGTCCAGCCAACAATCTATTCTTCCCAAAAATTAAGAACAAAATGCTACGTTGGCCCCAAAGACAGATGGATCAAATGAAACTGCTTGACATTTACAACATTCCAGTCCTCGTGATTGAAAAGTTCAGCAAATGGGCTTTCTGGATCCTCTCTCATCATGTTCTTGCACAGACAGATATGCATTTCTTGAGAAAGGCCTTGCTTTCCGGCTTCCCCTCCTGTTTCTGGTGCAAAGATGCTGAATTCTGTTTGAACTGAAGGCCGACAGTGGGGAAAAAGCAGGGCTGTTGAAGAAGACAAGCAGCCCAGCCTTGCGTAATTTATATCTCCCCCTGCATTATCCGGACTGGCAGTGGGAGTTTTAAAAAAGCAAAATTCGAGCACCCTCACTATTCGCTGGTTCCGATTTAAGCCAACCCCGTTGGAGAAAAGCATTCAGGAAACAGGGTAAGAAAAAGTATTTATTTATTTATTCATTTGTTAAGTTCTGGTGTTTTACAAACAGTTTTTTTTTTACTCTTGAGAACCCTTGGCGCAATTTTTAAAAATTCGCAGCACAGCCAGCGACCTAGCGACACTCAACATCTAAGTTTTTTTCTGAACGTGATCGGTCGTCTTGTGAACGCCACGCGCCAACCGTCACAGAAGAGCCCACAGAATCGGAGTCGAAAGGCAGCGGACGGGAGCTCCCACAGGGGCCATAGCCGGGAGGAGCCCACCAACCCCTTATGCCAAAACACCAACTCAAGCAGGCCTCACAATCAGCTGGGAATCCGCCCCCTTTCCCTGAACGTGGGAGCCCAGACTTTGATCAGTGTACAAATCAACGACATCCCTTATAGGTAGTCCTTTTCAAGGAAAGAGTTGTATTTTTTTTTCTCCATCTAATTTACATTTTATGTAATGCTCTGGGTAGAATACTTCATACACTGCTCAGAAAGGAGGGAGTGAGGGAGGAAGAATAAAACAGGAGGAGCTACTTCTAGCCAGGTGAATAATACAACAGTCTCCGCTCACGGAGGCATCTGCGTTCGCTTTCTCTTTTAAGTCACAAGAGTATTCATAAATTAAAAGAAAGAAAAGACTAGTTGGAAGCACCACAGAAAAGGAGGAGGAACGGGGGGGGAGGGAGGGAGGAAGAAGAGAAAGGAAAGAAGGGAAGAAATAAGAAAGAAAAAATAAGAGGGAAGAAAGGAAGAAAGGGAGGGAGGGAACTGATTTCACTGTAGCTTGGCTCACATCTTCAGAATGCACACATACACAGGCAGACCCACAAAGATACCTATCAGAGGGCAACAGAGCCCCACTGAAAACTTCCGCCTGGCCCCCGTCTGGCTCCTCAACTAACACCAGCCTTCACACCAGAAACAGGTCCCCTCTGAACAAAGCCCTCCCCCACTTGCAAAGAACCCTGCCAGATCCCCCCAATTGGGCACAGCCAGGCTTTTCCCATGCAGTGGCACAAGAGTTTTGGAACTGCTGCCCAACACTGCAGGGGTGTGTGTGTCTCTCTCTTTCACAGCCTTTGGTCAGACTCCACCACCACGCCTGATTTTCCTCAAATCAAGAAAATTACGCTTCAGTAAAGTTGGAAAACAAGGACACCAACTTTTTGTATCATTTGCCTATCAACATCCATTGTGGAGTGTCAAGAATTTAGGGCACAGAGAAGAGAGATTCCTGCACACAAGACCACCACCCCGCCCCCCGGCGCTATGGCGCCAGGCGCACCTGTTGGGGCCGAGCTTCGCTTTCACGCAGAGACGCCCCCCTGAATTCTGAGACTCGCAAAGCCAGGGGGAGGTTTGAGCAGACAGGAAGCACGGACGGGAACCAGGCCGGAACGGGACTAACTCGCCACAGCCAACTCATAGTTAATTATTTAAAATCATCATTTTAATTTTTGCCATTCACATTTATTCCATCCCTCCTTTGGCATCCTTTCTTTAGCGGTTCTATTCCACCATTTCTTCAATATTAGTGTAACTCTTGTCCCGCAGCGAGGTGGCCGCGATCAGTTGGTCGTGGAGAGTTCGCCCTGGTGAGTTGGCCACGGCGAGTTGTCCTAGACCCAGAGGAGGCCGCCGTCCCGATTCAGCCACAGGGTCCCTGGGAACGCAGCAGCAGCAGCATCCCTGTTGGGAGGCGAACATGAAAAGCAAGACCGAAACAGCAGGAAACAGCACGACGGGGCCTCCGTCCCGTTTCCTTCATTCCGGCTCGGCCAGCGGCCAGGCGCGTCGTGGGCGTCCCAAGCGGTGCTGAGCCTGGCCCTGGGATAAAACCCCCATCAGATTCCTTCAAGGGCTTTTAAGAGGGTCAGCGTCTCGCTCTCACGTATGCCGGGAAACACCCAATCCAGACGAAGCCAAGACGATGAGGACTGGCAGAGAGAGCCTTGCTTTGACTCAGTCCTCCCAAGATTAGATTACAGAAGCTGGAACAAAAGAGGGAAAGGGGGGAGGCTCTGCAGAAAAGTTACAGCAGAAGCAAGAGACACACAAACGACCTTTGTGGCTCCCCCCCCCCAGTGTTGAAGGGAGGTTGGGATTGTTGTGGTGAACACAAGGACCACCCAGCCCAGACGAGAAGCCGATTTAAGCAGTGTTGCCTTCAAAACAGGCTCCTGAGCAAGAGAGCATCCCCTAAACCAGGGCTTTCCAACTCTGGCCACTTTTAAAACCTGTGACTTCAACTCCCAGAATTCATGCTGGCTGTGGACTTCTGGGAGTTGAAGTCCACAAGTCTTAAAGTTGCCAAGGTTGGAGAGCCCTGCCTAAACTCCTTATCAGATCATCCAGGCACAGAGACCCCAAGGAAACAGCAACCCTCTGCAGAAAGCCTCCCCAAGCACCCGGAAACTCTGAGAGATTGTTGCTTCCTGCTCTGTGTATCACATCCCAACCCACCCACCGGGCCAGCCGAGAGAGGCTGCCGGACTTTTTCTCCCACCACAAGCCCCCTTCCCCACCCTGCCGTCCACCCTGGAGAAGCAGATGGGCTTGAGATGCGTAACAGCTCTACGCTGGGCATTGCTACATCAGCTGGGAGGGGGCCAAAAGAAGACCCACCAAAGAAGGCCGAGCCTTGAAGGAGGTCTAGCTTAACCAGGGCATTGCCCGCCCACCCCCGGCTCACTTCCAAAAGCTGGATGGGGCACCCTGTTTCTCCTCTGAGGAAGATGTGGTAGAAGCTGGAAAAGCAGCCAGGGTGGGTCGTTCCAAAGCTCCATTCAGCCCCCCACCCAAAAATCATCCTCTTCATCCTGCTTCCTCTTCCTCTTGAGGGAGACCTGGACCAATCCAGGGATCCCGGAGAGGAGACAACCCTTTTGAGAAGTCACTAAGCATCTGAGAGGGAGGGAGGATTGGGGGGGGGCAGAGGTCAGGATATCCCTGGGCTGAAATCCCACCCCTCAAGTGCCCCCCTGCCTCTCCCCAACAGCAAAGAGCCAGCTGACTCTAAACAAACTGGTTTAATCTGGTGCAAAAACGCATCATTGGAAGTTCTAGAACTTATCGTTTCAAGGAAAAAGAAAAAAAACAAGGGGGAAAAAAACAAGCATGGAATTTCGTGAGGACTAGAAACTTGATCAAATCTGTGGCCAGCCAGACCTCGTTCCAGAGAGTTAGTTGGCTTGGAAACAGCCCTGGATTCTTCCTGATTAACATAATTGGTTTCTTCCCAAAAGTATCAGTTTTCCCACAACTTATTTTTCTAAATTTTTTTTTAAGAGAAAAAGATAACTTTTTTTAAAAAAACCCGCACAAATTTGGAACAGTTAAAAAAAAAAAACCTCTTAACTCCAGGAAAGAAAGAAAGAAAGAAAGAAAGAAAGAAAGAAAGAAAGAAAGAAAGAAAGAAAGAAAGAAAGAAAGAAAGAAACGTTCAAGTACAACAAAGTATTGGTCTGCATTGGAGGCGAAAAAAATAAAATAAAATCATACGTTCAGGAAGGAAAATGGCATCGACAACAACAAAAAAATCAGTTGTAAAACTGAGACTTTTTTTTAAAGAAGATGAATTAGGAGCTTCTCTGAAAGGAGATCTTGAGTTCTGCTTATTACTGAAGGGTTAAAACATCATAAATAAAAAGGAGGCTTTAGGCAGCGTCTTCCTTCATGGGAGGGACCCAGCTGGTCTCGCTTCCTTGTTTAACAAAAAACAGAGAGAGCAGCGGCATTTCAACCCTGCAAAAAGGACAGGAAGAGAGAGGCCTTTTAGAGGAGAGGCACCCCAACTTTGCACCCTGCCTTCCGGGCCTGGAGAGACCGAGTCCCCACGGAGGGAGGACCTTTGTTTGGGCATCTTGAGAGGAAATTTACTTGGGCTATGACACAACCTCTGGACGGCTGAACTTTCCCAAGCGTTTGCTTTGATTCAGGTCTCAAGAACATTTGATGGTATCATACACCGCCCAGAGTCCCTCTGTGAGGGAGCTGGGTGGTTCTTAAATATGATAGATAAATGAAAAAAAAAAAGGAAAAACAGGACTGTGCTGGGCAGAAGTCCAAAGGGAAATGACAAGATGGTGGAAACCTTCGTAAAATCTCCTCTCCCTCCAATTTTAGAGAGAACGCCCCCCCCCCACCTTAAGGAGATCTCTGAAACACAACACTGGACAGGAAGCCTCCATTTGGGGGCTTTTAAGACAACCAGACTAATATTGCCCTTTCCTGAGGACTAGCAGCTTGGGTTTATGAAGCATCACCCTCAGATAAGGATCTCAGACCAGCCTAATATTGCCCTTTCCTGAGGACTAGCAGCTTTGGTTTATTAAATTTTTCTCTTCCTAGGATCTTTTCATTGGAGATGACGAAAGCTACCCCTGGGACCCCAGACTCTCCCTTTGCCGCCGATCTACCCTCCCAGGCTGGTTAAGGTCAATCACAGGGGAGCCCGGTCATCTAGACTTGCCTTCCCCACGAGGAAGCTCTCGCTCTCGTCTCATCTGAAGGTTTTCTGCTGGTGCATCAGACCGACGTTCTCATAAACCCGCGTGGTGTTGTCCTCCCTCATCCTGTAAAGTGCAGCGTATAAGGAGAAACTCAGAATAAGAAGGCCCCCCCCCAGCACCCCAGGCCGCATCACTCCTGGACGTGGGAGAGCTCGAGCAGGCGAGAGAAGGGATGGGCGGCGAGCCCACTACTCACTCGGGACAGGCCGGAGTGGGAGTACACGGCGGGAGAGGACTTTGGTCTCCGCTGGCCTGATCCGCTAAGGAGTATTTGATGTTGGTGTACTCATGTCCTTTCCGCTTGCTCTTCTGAAAGGGAGGGGGGAATCACTGCCTCCTCCCTCCCAGCAAGCAAGGCGCTCTTGCTACTTCTCAAAGAGCCCCCCCCAATTCCACCACTTCTCCACCCCCCACCTAACACAAGGAGGCTCGGTTGGTTCAGGATTGCAGAGGTGGGGAAACAGCCCCCCCCCCCGTGGCTTCTTCTGATGGGTGAACTCGGTTTATCCCAGGCTAGATCTTGGGCAGCCCCCAGTCTGACACTTTAGCAGGGTAGCCACTGGGTGAGAAAGCTGCCATCTCTCCTACGGGCCACCGAGAGACGAGAGGGCGGCAAATACACCCGGGGTGTCTTTGTGTGTGTGTGTTCTCTGCCTTTCTCCAGCTGGCAATTCTTCTTGGCCAGCTCTCAACCGACTCTCAACCCCAGCTTTCAACCCCACAGCCAAAGAGACCACCTTTCCTGTAGGGTAGGCCAGAGGAACCCGCTCCTGTGGGGGTCTTGATGCTTTATGAGCTGGGAGGTTTTCTTGCAGATGATTCATCATCCAAACAAACTGACGTCATCGGCGCTAGTCACTAGACTTGACTAGCACTGATGATGTTACCTAGATGGGTCATGAAAGGTCTGCAAGAAAATCACCCAGCTCAGAGGGCACCCAGGACCCTTCCTCTCAGCCCTGAGCTAGAAATCTCCTCCTCTGGGGGTACCTGCTCCTCCTCAATCCGGCGCTGCAACGTCTCAATGTAATGCTGGACTGCCATGTAAATGAACCGGTATTGGGCCTCTGTCTGCACCATCCCTGACCGCTGTGACCTCACCATCTGGATGGTCTTTGGGACGTCGATGTCGCAGTCCACCCCTGGAGGAGAGAGGAGAGGAGAGGGAGATGGGCTCAGCTGGAGAGCATGAGGAAGGCCCCCTTCGTAGGAGGACACGCGTGGGGAAGGCACGGTCGCTCAACTTCTCCAACCACACAGATTCCTCTAGGGAGAGTCTCCATCATCCAGGCCACGATTCTCCCAAAAGGCAGCTGGACTTTCTTGTTTTGTTTTTCCCTCTGAAAGCCTTTCGCTTCTCATCCAAGGAGCTTCAGAGAAGAAAAGCAAGGGAGTCCAGTTGCCTTTTGGAAAAAGCACCACAGGGATGGGTTAGAATCGTGGTTCCCAAGCAAGCCAACATGCCCTTAGCACGGCCATCTCATCCCATCAACGGTGATCCAGAAAGCACTCACGGCTGGGCCCAGAGCAAGATGCATGCCACGCCGACCACCCGAGCTACTCCACACGTTGTTGGACTACAACTCCCAGCAGACCTTGCCTACTGGGGATCACCAGGCCACCCGGCAACCGATGAGTGCACTCCGCGCACAACCGCTGGCCGGAGCCGTCTCCTCAACCTTGGAGGTGAAGCAGTCGGTTTGTTGGGACTCACCTTTCTCACGGATGATGTCAATGAGAATATCGATCACAATGAAGGTCCCAGTCCGACCGATTCCGGCACTGTGGAGTGGGGGGAGAGAAGCCATCACACGGGTTCGAGTCCTGTTCCTCCTCCTCAGACGGAGCAACCTTGCCCGTCACCGCCAGGCTTTCAGTTTTCCCTGCAGTGTTTCTCAACCTTGGCGGCTTGAAGCTGCGTGGACTTCAACTCCCAGAATTCCCCAGCCAGCAAAGCTGGCTAGGGAATTCTGGGAATTGGAAGTCCACAGATCTTAAAGTGGCCGAGGATGAGCCACGCTACTCTGCTGTTACCTGCAATGGACGACGACCGGACCAGCATCGGCAATGCTCTCCTGCTTGTGGTGCACCTCCTCTAGGAAGTCCAGAACGCCGCCAGGATCGCTGGGCACCCCATGGTCAGGCCAAGCCCGGAAGTGATACTGCCACACCGTCCGCTCGGTGTTGCCCTGGAAGAGAGGCCCCCCCATCCCCCGGAGATGTTTTGAGAAGCTGCCTTTGCCTTCAAAATCGGCAGAAGTGGGGAAGACCCACAAGCCCACCCCAAAACACAAGAGCGGCCTCTTCCAGAAACGTACCTGCCCAACCTTGGAGAGCTTGAGCTCTCGCAGCGTGTAGTCGTGAGCCGTGCTCTCTTTGACGTTACGGACACGCATCACGCCGTATTCCTTCAGGGCGTGCTCGTCCGGCCAGTACTTCACGCATTTGCTCTGGAAGACCAGGAAGGGGGGTGGGGGGGGGAAGGAGGAAAAGGAGAGCAAAGGCTTATGGGAGCTCAGGTCTAATTTAAGTGGCCAAAGTGGGGGGGGGGGCAGAGGGCGATCTGAAAAGGTGAGCTGCAATGCTGCCGTCAGGCACACAGCTCGGCAAGCGTCTTCAGAAAACCAGGGCAAACAGGGAGATTAGGTGCGTGAGATTGTAACAGGGCTCCACGACACAAAGTACCCGTCGGGTGGGGGCTGTAGAACGATCCGTGGAATCCGTGGAAAGGCTTCCCTCCAGGAGCTGTGGGCGCTCCAACACTGGGGGTTTTTAAGAAGAGACTGGGTAGCCACTTGTCTGAAAGGGTATAAAGGCTCCTGCCTCAGCAGGGGGTTGGACTAGATGGCCTCCAAGGTCCCTTCCAAGCCTGTTATTCTGACTGCTTTTCCCAAAAGGGCCTTGCAGACCCTCCCAGAATGAAACCCCGCCCTCCGCCCCCACCCAGCTGCTGCTCTCGCGTCTGCCTGGAGATCGAAATCCAGCTTCAGAGCAGCTTCTACGCGCTGCCAGGGCCTCCGTGGCTCATCCATTCCAGCTTCTCCAGAGGGCGTCAGGTTGGAGCAGGTGCTGCGCTGCACCCTCCTCCTGGCTTTGGGGGGGGGAGGCAGGGGAGAACATCCGGCCCATTTAACCAAAATTGTCCTTCCTGGAAAAAAGCTGGCTCTCCCCCCCTCCCCCGCCAACCCAGGGGTTTGTTCTCCCCCTGCCACCCCTGGCCTGGCCTGCGCCCACTTCCCCAAATCGCCCCCTCGCTTCCCAGGGTGGTTGAGGAGCCCGGAGGTCTGCGCAGGGTGTGGGTAGACAAAGGCACAGCCATCCAGCCACGTTCTCTCAGCCAGGGGAGCGAAGCCCTTCTTGGAAAGGAGCCCAGGGAGATTTACAAGGAACAGATGGTCCCGCTCTGACTGACAAAACACAGATGACTCAGCACTCTGGGCTCTGGCCCCAAGCACCCTGTCAGCCCCCCCCCCAATGCTGCTATCAAGAGTCTCCCCAAGAGCCTCCGGTACCTTCCTTCCTTCCGCTCTGTCCTCTCTGCCCCTCCCTGGCACCCTTTCCTCAAAATCCCCCTCCTGCCTGACTCTCTTTCCTTGCTGGACGTCATTTAGAAACAAATGGGGGGGGGAGCAGCTGAGAACACAGCCAGGGGTTCAAAGCCTTGCGAAAGGTGTGGCTGTGTTCCTGAGTCTGGGCTGCTGAATGCATGACGGTCCCCCACGTTTGTAAGGATCCAGAAGAGTCCAGACCCCTTACTGTCATCCTCTCAGTGCTGCCTAAAGTCAGTTAAATCAGGCAGTGCGGCTGTAGTGTTGTTGTTTATGCTTCTTGTTATCTCCCTTACCTCCTGTTGGTGTTATTATGATTACCGTTATTCTGTTGCTTTGCACGTACGACGAGCAGTTTTGAGGCAAATTCCCTGTGTGCCAATCACTCTTGGCCAAATAAAGTATTCAATTCGCTGGCTGAGCTGCCGTTCTCCCCTCCCCTCAATCCCGGGAGATCGGTGGATCCCCCCCCCCCAGCTCACCTTTCCCCTCTCCACCTCCTTGGTGGTCATGACGATCACCCGGGAATTCTCCTGGAAGACCATCCGCCAGAAGTCGTTCACCGTGTTCTGCAGGCAGCCCTGGGTGGCGATGTAGCTCTTCTTGGCCTTGGCGCTGTTGCACTTGTTCTCAAATTCTGGCTGGGAACCAACGGGAGCGTCGGAAGATGTCCGGGACCCTCGGGAGAGCCGCTTCCCCCTTGGAGGAAAAGCTCCCGGACTCAGCCCCCCCCCCGAAGAAAGTGGCGTCCCACTAAACTCCCTCGGTAGGAGAGCGGTTGCCGAGAGAGGCCGGCCCTCTTACCATGATGATATTGGCATTGATGTAATCCGAAACTGGCTCGTTTGGATCACCGTCGTGAAGGATGACCCGGGTGTGGTCAACTGGAAAGCAACAAAAAAGACACACTCCTAATCCAGGGAACTGTTGTCAAGCAGCAACCGCAAACTCCGACTTGTCAGCAGCAATTCAGGCAGTCGCCGGGAAGACTGCAGGAATGAAGAGTCCTGGGCAGCCCCGGAGATGCTTTAACTGCAGAGGCCAAAACTGAGCGACCAACTGCCTGCCCCCCTCGCTCAGTCGTGCCCCTGCTGCAAGTATCGTGGCTCCTGGGGGTCTCCAGCACATCATCCCCACGGCAGATGCCAGGAACTCCACGTCACCAAGAGAGAATTCGGCTGCAGGAGACGAAGGTTCCAGCAAAATTTCAACTTTCAATAAAGGGGGGGGGGGCAGCCAGCAGGCTACAGATAGCTCCCTGGGCTTCCTTCCCCCACGAGACCCAGTTGCCTTCAGGTCTGAGGGGTTTTCTGCTCAAATGCCAGCGATGCTGTCACAGAAGCAGGATATCCCACTGCTAGTTGCATAAAGCCGAGAAAAATGATATTAAGCTTTTAAAATGGGAAGAGCAGTTGGAAGGAAATCTTCACTGCCTATCCCAAATGTCTACTTGCTAGTGGGTCTCTCTCCCCCCCCCCGACCTCTGGTAGAAATGGAAAGGAGATCTGCACTCACAAGGCAAAATGTTTTTGTATCGGTTCTTGTTCTTATTTTCCTGTCGCTGTCCTTCTTTCCGGCTGTACAGGAGCTTACATTCCTGCTGCTGGAGAGTCTAGAAAAACAAGGAAGAGCGTCAGGAACCGTCTTTTGACCCCCTCCTCAAGCAGGGGAAGAGAGAGACAGAAGGCAAGTTTTCTCCCTCCCACAGGCCTCTCCCCATCTGGATTACAATGCCCATCCTTCTGGCCAGCCAGGTTAAAACAGGTGAGCTTTGCAAGATGACTATGTGGAACAGGGGCTCCCCCTAGTGTTCCTCTCCCAGCATAATACAGAGACGGGCTCTGCCCCCTTTGGGAAAAGCAGGGGAAATCTGGGGAGGCCACCCTGAAATTCAGGAGTTGTGTCCTAGGGAGAGAAAACGTTGCCAGCTTCCTCTCTGCCCGACAGCAGCTCGCTCTGCCTCCGAGCAATTAAAGCCTCCGAGTCACAGACTGCCAGCAGGCAAATTCCTATGGAGGCACCCAGCTCCACCCACTAGGAGGTGTTTTTCAACTGGGGAGCGCTGGGAGTTGAAGACTTACTCCCGGCTCTTTCCGTGCAACCAAAAGGGTTTTATCTATTTTTTTTATCTTGGTTTACATGCTGCTCCAAAGATTTTCTTGAAAACTCTTATTCGGTTAAACCCCCAGGCATCTAGAAGTCTGTTGTGCCCCCCCCCCAACCCACCCCCACAGCTTCCATAAGGACATTCACACTTCCCAATCCCAGGAAAGACAAGCAAGCATCTCCTGGCTGAGGACAGAACAGATCCTCTCCCGAAAGTACCTCGAATTCTTCCCAAAAGCCTTGCTTCACTTTGTCGGTAGTTTCAGCCAACTTGCTCAGTTCTCGCACTCGGCTCTCAATCTCAGCTGCGTTGATGCGGGTAGTGTTGAGAGGCTGGGGGGGGGGAAGAGGAAGAGACAGGGAGGGGTCAAATAATGCACACATGTCAGGAATCAAGAATGACACAATGAATTGCTTGGGGTAGTTTCCTTGTTGCTGTTCGCCCGTGGACAGGAGGAGTCTGGCCGTACTAAAGCAGACTGCATGGCTACGAAATAAGGCCTGTGAAGCTTTTGGGAGGATCCCTCCTGGTCCTCTCTCTGCAAACCAAGGACTCAGGCCTGACCCGCCTCCTAGCTCCTTGGGAATCTCAGTGCCAGATTCCACCACCCACCGAAAGGAAGGGTCAAGCAGCCCCCAAGGATGGAGTCCAGCCAAGGGTCAGCTGGACTGGGATCAAAAGCCTCCGAATGGGACGTCAAGCTGCAAATTTTCCAGGAAGGCTGGGAATCATCCAGCTTGCAAAGGGGGAAGGTCTCCCCCACGAATTACAACAGAGAGGCAGCCGTGCTAGCCTGACCCTGGTCTGGCTTGGCGTAAGGCAGATAGCCATGAACCCCACGTGGTTCTCGCCCGCTTGGCAGGGCTAGAGAGGGAGAAGCAAGGGCAACTCCGCATCTGAAAGCAAGCAGACGTGAGTGCCCAGGCATCGTGACCATTTGCAGAGGCTGCGGCTGGTGTTCTACTAAACCTGGTTTTGGAGTTGCGGGAGCAAAACTCAACCGCCGCCGGGCTTTCTCACCTGCTTCAGCTGAAGAACAGTCCCCAGAGTCTCCACCATGGGGTTCTTCTTGTAATGCTCAACGAGGTCCGTCAAGGAGTCAAACTTCTCCCCTCCTCCAACGTCATACTTCATGTCCTAAGGAGGGAGGGAGGGAGGTGGGGGGCTAGTGAGTGTCACTGTCCACGTGAGGCAGTGGCCTCCTAACCAAGACGTGCCGTCAAGAGAACGGGCGCTCACTTTTCCCACCTCTGAACTGAGGCAGAGACTCCCGGCACAAAGGCTTCTGGCCCACCTCCCCGCCACGCACTGGCCTCACTTCACCTCCCTCCCCGCGCTGTTACCTGGCAACGGATCATGACGTGCGTGACTTTGGACTTCCCATCGTTGCTCTCGCCTTTGTCATCCCCGGTCCGGACAGAAAGCACAAAGTCTCCAGGATGGCTTTGGCTCTCGCGGACCAAAAAGCTGCCGTGCTTCCCTTTTTCCGTCAGCAGCTTTTCCGCTTCCTTTCCAGAGAGGTGACCGTGGAACCACCTTCGGGAAGGCAGCGCAAGAGTCAGGGAGCCCCGAGTAGCTTCCCTTGCCCTTCGCCAGAGAGGGAGGCTCTCCGGAAATCAGAGCTGCCTCTGAAATGGAGAAAGTTCCCTCTTCTCTTGCAGCAGCAGAAGCCGAGAGCACGTGAAGAGGAGAACGTGCTGATTTTCAAAAGTAGCTCATATTAAGGCCGCTCTTATCCAAGTGGGATAAGGGGTGCTGTGCTGCACCCCCATTGCTTCCTCACCCAAGCTGGTGCCCGGAGGCTGCCGCCCCGCTCACCTTTCAGAAGTGGGATCTGCACAATTGAGGGGGTACTTCAACTCGATCACGTCCCCGTTCTTCTCCTTGAGCTGTCCGTGGTGTTCCATGTAATACTGGACCAGCTCTGCCAACGTGGCAAACTTCTCCCCCCCGTAGAGGTCATAGTAGTCGCCGGTGTTCTGGATCTTGATGTGAGTGACCGCCCCATTGCGCCTGGCCGGTCCAGACAGTCAAGAGGAAGAGAGAAGGGAAAAGAGAGCCGATGGCAATGAACAGAAAACTGTCTTCAAGTGGTAGCCTCCTGGGGACAGAGAGCAGGGCTGACTGCAAACCTCTGCCTCCTTATTTAACATTTTTGGATCGGGGGGGAAGGAAGGCAGGAGAGAAGGAAGAAAGGGTGAGAAGGAAGGAAGGAAGGAAGGAAGGAAGGAAGGAAGGAAGGAAGGAAGGAAGGAAGGAAGGAAGAAGGAAGGAAGGAGACATGAGGGAAGGAAGGAAGGTCTTAGCTAGCAGCAGCTTGCAAAGATGGATGTTATTCTGTCACTGCTTGCGCTTGCTCTAAGGCAGCCTCCTGAGAAAAGAGACTTAGCTAGTTAAATCATTTACTTTCGTTTTTTAAACCTTTCAGTAAAATTATATTAAATTTTAGCAAGTTCAAAGAGGGCTACAAGGGTCCTCTCAGCGGACTTACCGGACTGAAAGGGTGAAGTCCCCAGGGTTGCTTTTACTGGGCCGAGCCAGAAAGCTGCCATCAACTCCTCTGGTCAGGAGCAGGTTCTCTGCTTCCACTCCGGTAATATTGGGGTGAAACCATCTGGGAAAAGAGAAAGGGGGGGGGGTCAAAAGACCACTTTTAATTAGTGAAAAGGGTTTCCTTTTTTTTAAAAAATACATAGTTTTGATTGAAAGTTTTTACAGAAAGATAAAACGTGAAAAGACAAAAAGATAAAAAAGTGCAGAAAACAAGACACCTTCCCCATAAAAGATTACTACAAGGATAATACATATCTACTACATAGGTAACGGCAATGAAGAAGCCCCCGACTCATGAGGATTCAGACCATTTCATCTTTTGCATCCAGAGTAGGTGGTCTGCCACTGTCCTGCCACCATCTCTCCAGGGAGAACCGGAAAGAACCGGCCTCTTGCAAACCAGGATTAAAGTGGGATGAAACAATCCAAATGCAGAGACATCTCCTCGTCCGTGGGAAGCGGATTAAGACCACCAGTTGCTCCCTCACAACCAGCAAGAGAAATGGAGAAGGCAGCTACAACCTCATTGTGGCCTTGTGATAAGAAATCTGCTCTCGTCCTGAGTTGATCAGCTCCGATTCTGGGGTTTTGCTCAAGGGCGAGGAAGAGGAGGAGGAGGAAGAAGAGGAGGAGGAAGAAGAGGAGGAGGAAAGGGCTGTGGCTGTTTGACTTAGCAGAGCCTGGCCCCTCTCTTCCCTCTGGTGCAAACGGGCTCCATATATCCTCGCAGACCCAGCCACCCACAGTCACACCCTTCTCGACAACTAAGCCTGCACCTTGCTGGTTGAAAGTCTCCGGGGGGGGGGTGAACCTTCAGCTTGTCGTTCACCGCCTCTCCTATCAACACGGTCTGGCTTATTTTTAGAAATCTGGTTAACTCAATCAATATTTGGGCTGAATCTGCACTTCCCACTTGAGGATGAAAGCCTGACGTTTCTCAAAGGCCTGGGGAGCTAACTAGGACTGGTAATGGGTATATTTATATTCTTCCATAAAGACACGCAGTCGGCAGAGGAACAGGAGCGTGTTGGGCAACATCCCCAGGTGATCAAAATTTGGGCACTTGGCGACTAGCGTGTACTTGTGACAGTTGCCGGGTCCATGGATCATGTGATCACCATTTGTAATCTTCCTAGCCAGCTTCCGATACACCATTTGTAATCTTCCTAGCCGGCAAGCCAGATTGGGTTTATGACTGCACGATTCACTTAACAAGGGCAGAGATTAGCTGAACAACTGGGGCAAGAAGATTGTGACATGGGGCAAAATGTAATTTCTTGCTTAACAACAGAACATCTGGGCTCAGTTGTGGTGTTAAATTGAAGACTACTTTTATTAAAGACTTTTCAGAACTTTGAAGGGGGTGGGCCTTTTGACAGCAGGATGACCAGAGCTGCTGCAAAAGTATGAAGGTGGGGCCCTAAAAAGCAGAGCCCAGGGGCAGAAAGCCACTTCCGGGACTGCCGACTAAGGCAGGGATTCTATTTGCAGTGTCGGTGGCAAAGCTCCCCGGTGCTCCAGGTATATTTGTCACCAAGTGGGAAGCAGCATTTTGTCACCAGTTGGAAATAGAAGGCCACGGGGGTGTCTCGGCCGTAGGCCGGCCGGTTATGCCAAGTGATTCCGGAGACAGGATCAAAAGAGAGCCCACCAAATGGAACGTGCACATTTTAGGCTGACAGGCTGCCCAATTCTACAGTTGGGGGCAGGCTGGACTCTTTTTTTCAACCCAGGGAGAGAAAGACGATGCTGGGATTGGAGCAGGATTAAGAATGTTTCAAGGGTGGCTGTTAAAAGAATGGCAGAGGTAGGTCTTCCTACAGCCATAACTGGACATTTAGCAAATGTAAAGGAGGCTATTCATTAAAAAAAAAAAAACCACAGGATCCAGTGTTAACTATTCACACATCAGATGAACTGAAACATTTCATCTCAAAACACAACCAGCACTCCCTATGCTAACAGATGAACTCTAACACTATACTAGTAATACTGGTAATGCATAATTAGGCATAGAAAATGCAGGAAATAACTCTTCTTCCAGGAAAAAAAGGATCCTATTTTTGACAGTCTGGATGGGATTTTATAAAAATTACTCTACCGAAAGTCTCGTAATAAACTAATGGAAGAGGTGAGTTCACTGTAAATTTTTGAAAAGAAATTTATGTTACTCTTCTTCTAACTGGTATTCACTTATGTAAGTAGAAGGTTCTGATCACTTTGGGTTGAGAAGTGTGGTTTTATCATAATTGGAATCCTACTAAAAAGTTATTTCTCATTTCTTGGTTCTAGTCTCATACAATTAAAGAAGGACACTGCTTCCCCCCATTCCCCCCCCCCGCGGGCATCAGACTCCCTCTGAGTAGAGCTTCTGTTTTCCTTATCAGGTTAGCAGCTGTGACCGAAAAATTATTTTATAATTTTATAAATAAACAAATTTTAATTGTTTTATAGTAACTACCTCCGCTTTCTTAAATTTGTATATGTACCTTATACCAAGTTTACGTTCAAGTTTTGAGAGTCCCCCCCCCACTGTGGCTATTTTAGATTTGCAATACACGTTTCCTGCTTCCTACTGCAAAATAATTCAGGAGATGATTTTAGCTCAAAATTTACAATATTAGGTTTTAGCAGCCAGGGTCAGAGGTAACCCATTCCAGGCTTGAAGGCAACAGATAAGGACTATATCAGGCTCCCCCCCCCAAAGCTTGTGCTTTTGGATTACAGCCCCCATTCTCCCCAGCCAGCAGGGCTAGGAGAAACCATGCTGGAACCTGGTGGCTGGGGAGGATGGGAGCTGTGATCTCTTTCCCTTGCCACCAGGGCGAAGGCTTTTAATGGCACCGGGCGGCTGCTTTGTGAATGGAGTCCAAGCAGCCCCAGCCGGGCTCCTGTCTGATAGGGCAGGATGGGAACTGTAGTCGCGCACCTCTGGATCCAGCAGCTCAAAAGCTCCCCCGCGCCCCCTCGTCCCCATGGCAACGGCATCGGTGAGGGAGACCAGCTGGGCACCCCTCCCCCGAAAGGGCAAAGAGGCGGGGCCTGAGCTTCCCTCCCTCCCAGCCACCCCCCCGCTTCTCACCTCCTCGAGGTCATCTTCCCGCCTCCGTCTTCCTCACATGGGGCCCCTGGGTCTCGCGGGGAGACCGGCCCGGGAGGAGGCGAACCGCAATCGGCCCGGGCCCGGCCACATCCAGGCCCGGGAGAGGGGAAGGGAGAAAGAGCCCCGAGGAGCGATCCGTCGCGATGCCTAAGACGTCATCGCCGCGCGACAGGCCCGCCCGCCTCGGGAAGGGCAAGGAAGGGGCGGAGTCGCCAGACAGACTGAACACAGAGGCAGGCGCCGCCTAGAACGGCCACACAGCGGGAACGCTGTTTCCGCTCTAGGCTGCGATGTCTCAGTAGCAAGCACCTTTTCAGTGCCCAATGAGCCGCTTGTTCTCCAGCCCGTTGCATCGGTCTGCCCTGGGCGGGCTTGCTCAGAAAAGAAATAATATATGTATTTGTTATTATTACTGCACCGCAGGAATTATAATTATTTTATCAAGACATGGGAAAGTGTTTCTGTTATGATAGGCGGCTTTTATATCAATGTTTCTTAAACTTTAAGGTTTGTGGACTTCAACTCCCATAATTCTCCCGCCAGCACTGGAATCAATGAACACTTAATAAGTCCTGTAGGAGATAAAACGTGAAAGGCAAGAATGAGGGAGGAAAATCGCTTGAATTCTGAGTTAGTTCTCGGGAGGGCGAGGTGAACTACTTCTCCCAGAGTGCTTCGGGCTCGCCCGGTGACGTCACGCGCCTGCTCTTCAGCGCCCAGGCCCCGGATATTGCCTCTTTTTCCTTCTGCCCGAGGTAAGGATGGTGTGGCCGTGGCGCTTCCCTCCCGGGGCCTGTCATTCGTATCCACCGCCATCCGCCTCAGAGAACCGCCGGGCTGGGCACGGGCCGGGCAGGGATGCTTCGAGGGCTTTGGGCGGGCGGCGCTGGGCTGCTTCCGCCGGGGGCGAGCGAAAGATTAGGCCGGCGGTATCCCCGAGAAGGCCGGCTGGCTCTCCCCGGGCTGCCGTATTACTCCGAAGCGTCGCGCAGCTGAAAGCGAGGAGGAGGCGCCCGGGAATGGTTTTGGCCCCGGGCTTTAGGATGGCCGCCTTCCCTGGCCGGGAAGCGGATTCCGTCCCTGCCCGCAGCGAGTGGCGGATCCCCCAACCTTGCGACTCTCCTGGAGGGCTCGTGCATGGGGCGGCTTCTGAACACGGGGCGGAAAAGCTGGCCTTTCTGTAGGTTGAGATTTCCAAGTCGTTGATGAGAATGCAGGCTTGCCTCCATTAAGGGACTTCCATAAATGGCAAGATTCTGCTTGAAATGCAGTTCATTCCTTTATGCTTCCTAACTAGAGAGAGTGCCTCTATCTTAAAGTTAGTTGCCTTGTGGACTGGCCATATATTTGCAAAAACAGCGCGTGTGTCAGAGTCTGGTGAAGCTGTGCAACCGGTTTGCAACATTTTGGAAGTGGAGAATTGTGTCTTGAGAGGGAGGGCACCGAGAGGCAGGGTCTAATAGATGTTTCCCTTTTTTTGTCAGATGGCAGGCGAGAAGAAAACCAGGAGGGTCCGGAAGGTCCATGCCAGCCGCAATCCGGTGCTGGCCCGAGGGATCGGGAGATATTCCCGGTCAGCCATGTACGCCCGGAAGGCCATGTACAAGCGGAAGTACAACGCGCCAGAGACAAAGGTATAAGACGATGGGGACTTTAGTGTTAAGGCTGGATAATTAGCCCAGTGGATGGGGCTATGGGTTTGAGTACACCATGCTGTCTGGGGCATTCTGGGAGTTGAAGTCTACCCATCTTCAAGTGGCTAAGGTTGAGAAACACTGGATTAATCTATGGAAGATGAGTGTTTCAAAACCAATTGATTTTAATCTGTCGTATCAAGAATGCCATGATGTGCTACCAATTTTGCTGTTGTTTTTTCCCCTAGATAGAAAAGAAGAAGAAAGAGAAGGTGGCAGCCACTGTTACAAAGACTGTTGGGGGGGATAAGAACGGAGGCACGCGGGTGGTCAAACTTCGCAAGATGGTAAGAGCTTGTGGCCTAAATTATGCGGCCGAGAGAGTTCCTGTCCTCCTCTGTGTTCAAGAGGTTGCTTTGATTCTTTAGAGGGTTCTGAATTCAGGCCTTTCTTCCTTGCAGCCCAGATACTACCCTACAGAGGACGTTCCCCGTAAGCTCCTGAGCCATGGCAAAAAGAATTTTGCCCTCCACAAAAGGAGGCTGCGGAGTTCAATCACCCCAGGAACGGTGCTGGTCCTTCTCACTGGCCGCCACAGGGGCAAGGTAATGGGCCTCTTGTCTGGAGCATTCTGGAGGCAGGCAGAGATTCAGACGACTAACTTTCTCCTCTTGTGTTTGGGTTTCCAGCGTGTGGTTTTCTTGAAGCAGCTTGGAAGTGGACTGTTGCTTGTAACAGGTAAGCTCATCTTATATTTATAGCCTCCGTTTCTTTTCTGTCATCCTTAGTGTTTTTAATTCTTAACGTTATGCCATTCCGCATAAGAAATCTTAGTTAAAAAAAAGAAAAAAGGTAGCAAACAATTGTAGTAAAAGATCTGTCTCCTAAAGGAGGAGGCTCTTTACAAGCTGGGAAGAAGTAAAGAGTTTTCTGCCAGTTTGAGGTCTCCGTGTACATTCTTTTGTCTTCTGTTTCAGGGCCCTTGGCTATCAACCGTGTCCCTCTGCGCAGAGCTCACCAAAAGTTTGTCATTGCCACTTCGACGAAGGTTGATATCTCTGGGGTCAAAGTTCCAAAGCACCTCAGTGACGTTTATTTCAAGAAGAAGAAGCTGCGTAAGCCCAAACATCAAGAGGGCGAAATTTTTGACACTGAAAAAGTGGTATGTACAGAGCTATAGCCTTGAGTGTGCTTCCGAGATTGTATTCTGCATAACTCAAAAGCCAACCAGGAGGCAGTCTGGAACCTGTAGACAAATTTTCAAGATCATTCCAAGATCTTTGCGTTTAAAAAAGCAGATTAAAGAGAAACTTGTACGAGGACATCTTTAATACTTGTCTTGATGACCTTTTTTCCTAAATAATGTTTACATCAAAATCTGAAGAATGGTTTAGGTGATACAGCTGTATCCAAGAGGGTGTTAGGAAAGCAAAACATTTCTTTTGGATGCCCTGTACAATAATGTTGGCAAGGAGAAGGGGGTGGCTGTTTAGAGAGCCTTTAGAAATCCAGTGGGGAAAGCCAGGAGCATCCCCGTAGTACAGCCACAGGCAAAGGAACAAATGACTGAAGTAGCATTTCTGTTTTTCCAGAAATACGAGATTGCAGATCAGCGTAAGGCAGACCAGAAGACGGTGGACTCTCAGCTTCTGCCAATCATCAAGAAGGTCCCTCAGCTCCGAGGCTACCTGCGCTCAACCTTTTCACTTTCCAATGGAGTTTATCCTCACAAATTGGTCTTCTAAATAGTCTGAAAATATTACAGTAAAATTTTTTGGGGGAAAAATTACTAAAAGCTCTGCTGGTTTTATTTGATTGTATTATATATTGGTTTGTCTGCACGTAAGCAAACATTGGTTTTATGGTTGAAAACGGGAAGGCGCATTTGCTGCTGTTTTGTGTCTGATCGTGGTTTTCTTTCTTGAGATGGGACGAGAATTTGCCATCACCGTTTTCAGGAGGTTCCTCTCCTCTTCCCATCATCTTTGAGTACTGGTTTGAAGCAGTCATGGGCAGAATTTGCACCTACTCGGTTTAGTAAATGGAAGGAAAGCTCTGTAGGCAACTGCTTTAGAGGTCGTCCCTAAGCTTCGCCAACTGTTAGTCTATGCTTCAGTGCCAATGGGGTAAAGCTATAGCTGTGCTGAAGTCCTGACCCAGCCTCAGATCATTTGAGGTATTTGTGTGTCCATGTTCAACTTGCTTAGTAAATAGATGGTGTGTGTGGGGGGGGAATTGTTTGGTCAGGAGAGGGAGCTCGTGTGCAATGCTTGAATCACAGCCTTGCAAAGGCACTAAATTTTCAACCAAAAGATCAAATCGCCTTGTAAAAGGCAATTGTGTTAATTAAAGATTACATGAGGAAAATAATGTTTTGTGATCTGAGAAAGCCATAATGCCACAAGCAATTTAAGAAGCATGTAATCCAGTTTCCCCAATTAGGTGTCCCCTCAACAGATGTCAGTCTGAATCTTACTTTTTGGGTTCATTTGCTGGATCTCTAGCTCATTTCATGTGTTGCACTAAGACTAAGCTATCGTGTTTTTATTGGATTATGGTCCAGAAGGTTGTGGGAATCCAGCCGGTTACTAACTTAACAGGCTACCATTTAGAAGACTACAGTGTGTGGGGTAGGACCAACCATTCTGGTATACCTAATATAGCCATCATTATGGTTCACAGAGATAAGAAATTTTGGGCGGATTGCCTCTCCAGCTGACTGTCAGTTTCACAGAAACTCAGAACCATGACAACATTTGAGCGTGCTTTTATTTCATTTATTTAAAGCATTTATATAGGCACCCATCTTCTGCCAAACTTTGGTTCTGCAGAAGAGCCTGCAGAGGTTTATCGGTCTCATGGGAGGGAGTCTCGCCAAGAGAGCTATTCGTGATTCCGTAGTGGATGTGCAATGAAGGGTTGCAAGGAGCTTGACGCACTTTGGGTTCCCATCAAGTCAGGCACAAGGTAAAGCAGGCAGTTCGAGCTTTAAAGCAGGCTGGGGTCGTTCAGAGGCCAAGGCTGCTTCTGCTGAAATCCCCTGTCAGAATAAACTGGGTTAAAGTGAGAATGGTGGTTAAAGCAGCTGCTGTTCAGTGGGGAAATCGGTCAGTGAGGTCTGTGCAAAAAGCTCAGCTCCTTCCCTTGCTCCGAGAGCTGCGCCTGGCAGGCTGCCTCCCCAGACACCAGAGCCTGTTCTGCTGCTTTGTGTGGGTGAGTGCTCAGCAAAGCAATCTGAAAATGACAGGAAATCGCCCTTCAGTTTCCTGTAGGCCAGTCAACGGAGAGGCAGGAGACCGGATGAATTGGACCAAGCCATGTTGTTGGCTGTTGGCAGTGCTAATTGCTCCCATGGCAGGAGGTTAGGCAACTAGGATGAGTGACTAAATTGACTCAGCAACATTACACTCTAGAATTCTGTTTGAAAAAACACATTATATCCCCTAAAATATTGGGCAGTGGAAGGCATAAGCTTTCCATTAATTTTAGGGTTGACTCACCCCACTCCCATGGTACATTTGGGGAAAATGTACCCTGAGGCAATTTAAAAATTTATCTTTGATTAAACTAGAAGTGAAGAGCTTCATTAAAATATCCAAGATGTTCAGTAATTAATACAAGTGTTTCACAGCATATTCCGACCACATCGTAACTGGCTGAAATTTCATGTTCTATGTTAAAGTAATGAACACTAATTGAAAATATCTTGGTTTCTATATTTAGAAAATTATCCTGGCATGAAAAGTGGCTGGATTGTGGTAAAAGAGAAACATGATTTGGGGGGGGTTCCATCCCCAAAGAATTGGCCTAAATCAGAGATTTATGGGAAGTATTTGTCATAACTACCAAGTGTGCCATTGATTTATTGTACAGGAAATCAAGAATGGGAAAAATAACATTAGTGCTTATTTACTTTTGTATTGAATTTATACCTCTCTTTCTCTCCAACAGATTTGAAATATATACAAGGAACTTTGCATATTTTTTGGTTTTAAGCAAAGCCGTAGAAAGATGGTATTTGTCCCCAGAGACAGGATTTTGCCATGTATCAGGTCGTGCTGAGCCATTAGCAAAGCATTTTAAGTCAAACAGGATGAGAAAAGAATCCTTGATTCAGGATTCATGCGCCGTGTTGGCTGAACCTAGTGATTGTAGTTAGTAGATCACAATTTAAGGCTTAGTTCAATGTGAACCGATAGGTAAAACCTATAAAATAAACATAATCCTTAAAACTATGTGAAATAGTTACTTACTATTTCCATCATATAAATAAATTCATATTAGGTGCTTTGGGGGGAAAAAAACATCCACACATGTTTACTCATTAGGAAGCTCTTTGGATTTCATGGGTCTCTCTTCCAAACTTTTCGAAAGCCAAATAAAAGGCGGATATTAAAAGTTTTTCAAGCCAAGATTATTTAGAGATGATTAAACCACTAAATTTGTTTTTAACTGAGTTGTAGATGTTACGGGAACATTAGATCAATATTATGCTAACCTCTTACCACTAAAATGTATATTGTAGTCCTCCAGTACATTGTTTTCTTCTGTGTTTCATAGGTAGGACTAATCGGGATCACAGGGCTGTAAATTACTTCCTCCCTAGATAGGTGTTACTAAATGCTGATGTATTGTATCATCCTTTATGTTGAGATGATTTTTCTAGGGAGGTAATATCCTGTCATTTCAGTGTAATCAAAGGTAAAGTCATAGTTAAAGTAGTGATGGGTGATGAGACTTCAGCCCTGCCCAATTTATCAACTGTCAGCTCAAGCTCAAATGCACTTCCCTGAAGGCCTCGGTGATCCCATTATGCAGTGATATTTCACCCTATGTAAATGCATGTTAATTTAGGGTCAACCTACATAGGTGCTTTTTCAAGAGGCAACTGGACTTGCAAGAAAGTCCAGTTGCCTCTTGAAAAAGCATCTTTGGGACAATCATGACCTGAATGTCTTGAGAATCTCCATAGACGTCAATATGCATAGCTTTCCACTAATGATGCAGTTGAGGCGTTACAACAGCTAAAATGTTTGTGAAGCTGAGCCACAAAATGGAAACAAGCAGAAAGTGATCGGCAAAACAATTTAAAGTGAAAGACAAATTCTTGAATACCATTCCAAATTCAAAACAAAACAAAACAGTAAGACCACCATATAGAGGAGGATCTTCTATATTCAGAAGTGCCCTATTGGGTGGGACCTATTTCCTGTATTCTGGGGGCAATATATGAATACAGTGTAAAGCAGGGGTGTCCAATCTTGGCAACTTTTAAGACTTGTGGACTTCAGCTCCCAGAATTCCTCAGCCAGCATTATTTGCTTCCCTTTCCTCTGCTCATCACCACACCTCTGGTAATGATAAACATTATAAACAAAACAGTTCCAAGTATGTACATGGCTATTTTTCTTACAGCTAACAAAGCTAAGCAGCAATAAATTTTATAAAAAAATTAATTGGGTGGTGTGTTAAAGACTCATGCAGCTGAATTTTATTTTAGTTGCTGAAATAAAAATACATTGTACAGCTGACCAGATGTTCTCTTGTATTGTTCAACCAGCCCAATCCTAGCAGGAAAATTTGCATATTCCAGCAGGCTGTGTTGATAGTTTAAATTGTTTAAGGCTTTGATTATAAGATAAGTGTTGATTCAGTGGGAAGCCTGCATACTCATTATGCTGTTTTGAACACAGCATTTTGATAGCCCCCAGTGTTCCCAAAGTTATGCTTTGTTAGATAAAGTTGCAAGATAAAGCTTATCAAGTTTACTTACTGTAGTTTCTGTGACCAAGCCTTTGCACCTATCCCACAAGAGCAGCCAAAATTAGCTGGTAAGACAAATAATACATAATTTTATTAACCATCCAAAATAATTTCCTAGATAATTCTCTAAAGTACCACAAAATCCATTTATAACACCTCTGTGGTTATTTAGAACAATTTCAATGGCGTGTCTTCCAGATCTTTACTGACCTACCCATGCATATTTTGTAACAATTTTTTTCAAAGGGCAGAATTTATTTTTGGTTCTTTGCTTGGCAGTCATCCTATTGATAGTATCTTCCAGAAGTGAACAGCAACACCTTCATTTCAGTTGTCAGATCATTGCTTTACCTCCAACGGTGGTTCCTGAATCTGCCTGTGTGGCTATTGCTATTGTTCATCATTGAAAAAAACCTGATTTATCAGTTCGAACAATATCTGCTTTGACCATGGTTTGACATGTATGTGTCAGAGCTGAAAGAGCCGACAGTGCTGGGTTGAACCAAGGATTTGACCCTGGTCTCTTGCCTGCCTCTGACCTTCGTGACTAAATGTCCATTCTCTGAAAACATGGCGTGGCCATGAAAATGATTTTAAGCAAGGTTTGTTTTCCAGTTTATCCTGCTGAAAATGAAGGTCTCCGATTAAATATCAGCTGGGGTATTTTATTATGTGAAGCGCACAGACCAAATATTTTGATTAATCTTATTAACTGCATGCAAACAAAAACGGTGCAAAGAAACGATGAAACCAACTTTTTTATTTTATATCCCCAGCTACAATCCTGAACATTTTAAAAAACACTAGGGGAATATCAATATATCCTTCCACTATAAGTATCAGCGGTATTTTTCCAAAAGTTTTTTTTTAAAAAAAACATTGCTGTACACACACAAATTGTTTTTAGATCTTTTTATCCATTTATTATTTTATAAATAATTCAAAGAGGCGAATATGTATGATCCTCCTCCCTTGCCCCACAACAACCCTGTGAGGTAGGCTTGTCCAAGAGGGACTCGCCCAAATGCCTTTCACGCCTAAGATGGGACTAGAACTCATCGGCTCCTGGTTTGGGGCCTGGCACTTTGCCACTATATCACTGTTTGTCAGCCTTAGCCGCATTAAGACTTGCGGATTTCAACTCCCAGAATTCCCCAGCCAGAAAGCTGGCTGGGGAATTCTGGGAATTGAAGTCCACATCTCTTAAAACGATCACGGTTGACATCCGTCACCCGCGCCACAAAAGGAAGAAGAGGCCGCTGGCCTGCCCCCATCCCACTCACCCTTGCAATGCTCCTCTTTAGATGAGGCGCAGAGCCGACAGCCCTCACCTCCTTCCCGGCGGCCACAGCCGCGCTCTGACGCGATACAGGCCGGGAGGGGGGAAGCCGGTCGCGTCCATCAGCGGCCAGCCAATGGGCGGCGCCGGGTCCAGCTCCGGCACACCCAGTGGGCGGAGGGGTGGGGTAGGCGGGCGCGCGCCTCGGCCTCTCGCTGCGCGCGGCCCCCTTCCCCCTCCCGTCGGAGGAAGGCGGCTCGCGCCCCTCCAAGATGGCGTCCGGCCGTCAGCTGGGCGCGTGAGAGGGCTCCGCCTCCCCGGCCGGGCCCCGCCTCCGCCTCCGCCCCCATCATGGCGGGGGGTTGAGGGCGCCGCCTCCCGCCTCCCCCTCCCGCCGCCCGGCCTGCCGGAGCATCTCCGGCTCCGCTCAGCCACCGCCGCGCCGCCCAGGACGGAGGGACGCAGGCAGGGAGGCCGGTGCCGCCGTCCCCGCCGCCTCGCCTCCCGGATGGGCTCCCCGGCCGGCGCCTCGGGCTCCGCGGCCGCCGCCGCCGCCGCCGACTCGGCGCAGTGGCTGTCGGTGAAGGAGGAGACCATCTTCCTCCACGACGGGCTGATACGGGTCACCGACCTGGCCGAGCTGCCCAGCGAGATCATCGGCGTGGCCGAGCCCGGAGACACCGAGCTGGAGGTGAGAAGGGGGAGGCGGAGGAGGGGGTTAGCCCGGGTGGTCTCGAACAATGGGGGGGGGTCGCTAGGCCTTTCTGAGGGGAGTCGCTGCGCCCCCCCAGGGAAGGAAGCGGCCCCGGCCTCGCTCCGAAGGAGGCGGTGGGGGGAGGGAAGGCATCGTCTCGGCCTCCTTCCCCCCTGCCCCTCGTAAGGCCGGGGGAAGATGGGGGGGCTGCCCTTCGTTAAAAGAGTGGGGGCCAAAGATGGCACCTGGGGTCCCTTTGAGGCAGCTGGGGAAGGGGAGGGGAGGGGAGAGAGGGAGGGAGAGAGAGAGGGAGGAAGGAAGGAAGGAAGAAAGGAAGGAAGGAGAGAGAAGGAAGGTAGGAGAAAGATGAAAGGAAGGAGAGAAGGAAAGTAGAGAGATGGAAGGAAGGAAGGAAGGAAGGAAGGAAGGAAGGAAGGAAGGAAGTCTCATAGCCCACTGAGTGATTTTCCAACATCTGTTTCTGGGAAGATGTACCCAGGTCAGGGATTTATTGAAGGGAGGATGTCAACCTGGGCAGCCAACCTGCTGGGGATGGTGGATCATCAAACCATGTTCTGGAGGGAGCATTTCCATTTGAAGGAGCTGGAGTAAAGGTGATGGAATGGGGAAGGATGGGATGAGGAGGGCAGATGGGAAGACAAACGGAACGTCAAGGCAGGCAGAGAAGGAAGAAGAGCCCAAGGCGAAGGTCATCCTGACCAGGCAAAACCTGGCCAGCAGATTGGAGACGCTGCCCTTGGACAGGGAAGATGTCTGGAGCCCCAAGTGAGGAGAAACAGGTGGGAGGACCAAGAGTGGTTGAAGGACGAGCTCTGGAAGGCCAGAGGATGAAGGAGGGGCACTGGTGTACTCCGGGATGGAAAATCAGGCACAGGGGGACGAGGGACCCGCATGGGGGGGGGGGGCTAGAGAGCAGCACTGATTTCTTTCCTGGAGGGTTTCAGCCCAGCAGGATCAAGATGTGGGGTAGGGAATCAGCAGCGGGTCCAAGAGCAGGAAGCAGCATGTAAACACTGGGGCAGGCCTGTCTGTATCCACATTTCTTGACAGGCTGTCGCAAAGGTGATTCAGCACTAAGGAAGCAGAAGAGGCCAGAGGTTGGGAGCTCTCCTTTGCTCTCTCCTCTCTCCTCTCCCTTTTTCCCCTGGGGAATCCTCTCCCTCAATCGAGGGTGGTCCTCTTCTTATTCCTGTTTTTCTGCTGAATTGCCTGCCTTATTCTAAATTGTGTATATTCCTGGGCTGAGCTGACCAGGATGGCTCAAAAGCCGAGGGAGAGTAAGGAAGATGCTTGCCAACCTCGGCTTCTCTTCTCCTAAAAATAGGGGCAGCCGAGCCCTTGCTGCCAGTGTCTCTTCTGGCTTTCTCATGCGCCTCCCTCCGTCACTCCGCCCTCTTCCCCAGCCGTGTGGCTCTCGGTGACACAGGTTCTTTGTCAGAAGCTGGGTGGTGTGAACCAAACGGGGACGGTTCAGCAGGCACCGCATTGAAGGCTCATGCTCAGTCACCTGCGTTTGTTTAGGGAGCTTGAAGGAACGCAATTGTATTGCCCGGAAGGAGGCAAGGCTGCCCTGAACCCTTCCCGGCTTCGTGTGGAGAAGGAATTGTTTCCTAAGGGAGGGGGAATGACACTGGCCCACACATCACAAGCCTTTTGTTAAAATAAATGCTGACAGGCTTTTTTTTTTTTTTTTTGCTTCTTTTTGTTGTGATCTGTCAAAGAATGTGGAACCGTTCGTGGGACTTATCCAGAAGGTGATGGTTCTTGGGGTTGTTTTTTTATTTTATTTTTTGCATCAATATAGTTTGCATCCAGAAATAGAATTGAGCCCATTAGTTCTGCAAGCCTGCTTTAAATGATGATTAATCACATGACAGCCCTGGGCAGTAATTGCTCAAAGAGCATGCTGTAGTTTCAAGGTAATTCTACAATCTCTACAATTGTTTAGAAAACACATTGTGGAATGGAAGCTGATAATGTGGATATTTGGGGTGCTGGAATGTAAATAGCAATTGATAAGCCTTTGCTTTCCTTTGCCTCTCCCCAACTGATGTTTGACACATAAATTGGAGTACAGGTGCCATCACACCAGCCAGCACAGCCCACAAGGCCCCAGTAGCTGGGCAGCACACAGGTATAGTCCACTGCCACTCAGGTAGAGAAGCTGCTGCATACAGCTAATTGCTTCCGTTAATATTTTTACTGTTTATTAATAACACTTAGACTTATATACTGCTTCACGTTGCTTTACAGCCCTCTCTAGGCAGTTTTACAGAGCCAGCCCCCAACAATCCGGGTCCTCATTTTACCAATCTGAGAAGGATGGAAGGCCGAGTCAACCTTTCACCAAACTTACTTATTAAATTTATATGCTGCCCTTCTCACTATCACGTGACTCTAAATTTACATTTTTCCCATGTGAAAATGCAGTGGATCATCCCAAATCTTTTGGTTGGGTAAGGCACACCCCAGATTACATGTGGCAACTCTGCAAATTTAGCTCAAAATGTATAAAGTTTCTTGAGTTTCAGTTTGACTCCTGAAGGCCAACACCCATCTTGGTCCATGATTGCGTCTCATAGTATCCAATCAAACGCTTCTGGGGTTCTCAGATAGGGACATAGTCCTCTCCTCCTGGGGGTCCCTGCCACTGGTTGTCCCCACGCAGAGGTGGCTGTGAGCCTTTGAGACAAATATCCCTCAGTGTGACTTTATCCAGTCCCTTTTAAAGCCACCCTTGTCAGTGGCCGTCTTCATATCACATCCTCATCATATCTGGCGGTAATGAATTCCACAGATTAATTGCGCACAGTGTGAAGGAAAGCTGCTTTTGTTCCAACTCTTTTTTTCCTAAATGGCTTGGCTGAATGGCCCCTGTTGCCAGTGATTGGAGAGAGGAGGAAGAAAGCAGCTCCCAGGCCCCTTTTCTCCACTCAGTGCATTATTTTTTTTACCTTTCTGCATTTTGTTCCTGTCAATCTCGGATGTTCCAGCTTTTTCTCAAACTCCTGATTGTTTCGGTCTGCACATTTTCCCAGTTCTTTATAGCCTTTTCAAATGTGATGACTAAAACCGGACATGGCGTCCCAGTTATGGCTGTGCTATAGATCTGCATAAGAGCTTTACATTGTTGGCAGCCTTCTTCTCAACCGCATCGTCCTCAATGCGGACATGATTTGTTCTTGCATTCTTTGGGGACTGACTTCCCAGTTTATTCTACAGTCCTGGGATTTCCTGGTGGTCTCCCATCCTGGTCATAACCAACTCTAACCTCTTCTTTGCTTTTCAAGACCAGCCTGGAAATCACTCGGAATCCTTTGCCTTTAAAATGTTTATTTAACATAAGCACTGGCCATTCCAACTTCTTTGATGTGCAGCCCGTTTGCTGTTTCTGCAGGTTTTATGGGTGAGAGCTCCATTGCTCAACGAACACGGGGAAAGAGTTTAGGAGTGCTGCTTCCTAGAGAGGTCATGATTAAATGGGAGATCTTTGTAGGCTCCCCAATAATTCTAACGGGGCTACACAAAGAGTAGTAATTGTCCTGCCCTTACTTCGTGTGTGGTGTAGTCCTCTTCATGAGTGGAATTGATTGTTCTAGCACACTCCCGTTAGCTTTGGATTGACTGTTTGAAATGGAGAAGCCCCTGCTCTGTAGAGGCTATTTTGCTGCAGCATAACAGAAAAGAGCCTCTCTGGCCCATCACTGGTATATTCTCAGACATTGATATTTCTGCTGTGCTTCCCTGGATATAGATTTTGCCAGTACAGCAAGCATCTCCGCTGGAAGATCTGGTCTATTCAGGGGTTTTTTTTGGGGGGGGGGGAGAGAACATGCACTAACTCTTCTTTATTCCAAGAAGCCTCTGGACTGGTTGTGATGGTACATTACTTTATATTCTTAAAAACAAGGGGAATTAACCCTGAATAACAGGGGATTTGGTCCTCCATGATCCTGAGTCAGCAGAGAATATACAGAGAAGAATGAGACAGGAGTAAGGCAATTGGCTCTGTGATGGGTTCGACCCAAATCTGTTCATTATTATCTTGGGTTCAAATCCCTGGAAATGTGCAAAGTCTTGAGAACGCTGTTTCTCAACCTTGGCAACTTTAAGATGAGTAGATTTCAACGTCATGCTGGCTGGGGAATTCTGAGAGTTGAAATCCATTCATTTGAAACTTATTGCCAGTACTTATTTCCTTGCACAAAATCACAACATTTTCCTTATTAAAGGACGTTAAAACAGAAACTGCTGCTGTTAAATTTTGCACAGTCTTAAGAGTTTATAGGATTCCATGGTGAATTTTTAATACTGGAAAAACAAATGGATTTTTAATACCCATTGTGAGTTTGGACCCTGTTAAATCAATGTCTGCAGCATTTAGTTAACTATGTATGTCAGCTTGTATTTATTTGGCTAATTGGCCTTGAAATCCTTTCTCAATAATCCTATTTCTTGCTCTTTGCCATTAAAGTTGCTCAAAAAACAAAGCCCTGGTTTTATGTGTCATCTAACGTCATCTACAAGCCGTAAAAGGCAACCAAGAAAATGTTGTGAATTCATAAATATCTGATACCGACCCTAAAGCGAA